TGAGTCGGAATCGACTGTACGGCAACAGGTAACCATGGTCTTTGTGACTCACACACAAAGACTGAGTGAGACTATGCAAACAAGGTATATGGAACTCTAAAGAAGGGATTGGTCAGTTTTGCCACTTTTCTAGGCTTAAAATGAGCCACCCCAGAGACAGAAAGGGAAGATCTCACCACCACCAAAAAGAAGGGCCAGGAGTAGAGTGTGTCTTTTGGACTCAGGATCCCTGCACTGAGAAGCTCCTGAAACCAGGAGACCAACAGAGAGACAGGGAGGGCGTAAGAGGGAGGGGGAGAGAGATCTGCAAGACTGCAGACAGTGAGAAGCGGTGGCAGAGAAACAGCAGCAGGATAGACTGGCAGGAGATGGCACAGTGGGCTTCTCAGCCCACAAAGTGAGAAAGCTTACTGCCTTTGGGCAGGAGGCTTGCTGGAGGAGTAGGGTGCCTCTGGGCACTTATTGCTAGAGCTAAAAGAGATTTGTAACACTTTCCTGAGCAGGGCAGAGGCCAAAGGGCCAGAGAAAGGCGTGCCTGAGGGCACAGCCAAGAAGAGCTGATTGAAGAACTGTATCCTGAGCATTCCTGAACCTGAATTGTAACATGTTACTTCCGTAATAAACCCCATAACTGTGAGTATGGTCCGTGAATTCTGTGTAGCCATTGCAGTGAATTATTGAACCCAGTAGAGAAGTAGAGAGTGCTATGGGGGGGACAGCTGGTGTCAGAATTGGTGAAGATGGTGGAAAGAGGAGACTCTGCCTCATAGGAATCATCAGCCTTGGGCTATTGATCTTGATTCTCCTTTCCCCTTGTGAAGAGAGAGGTCAGACATCACCTGCCACGCCATTTTTACAGAAACCCTACTGGGCATTTCTACTCTGTCTTCCTGTCCTATAGGATCGCTATCAGTTGGAATCAACTCAAAGGAAAAGGATTTTTATAACATCGTTAAAGAAGCCTGGTGGCCCAGTGGTTAAGCACTTGGCTGCTAACCAAAAGGTCAGTGGTTCAAACCCACCAGCTGCTCACAGGGAGAAAAGTTCTAGTGATCTGCTTGCATAAAGATTACAGCCTAGGAAACTCTATGGGGTAGCTCTACTCTGAGTTCTACTCAAGTCGGAATTGACTTGCTAGCACCCAACAACAACGTGACATTGCTGCCAAGTAGACACCTCGTGTATGAGTGTTCTATGGCTGCTGTGGGAGCCTGGGTATTGCAAGCAGTTTTTGATCAGCTGCTAACCTAAAGGTTGGTGGTTTGAACCCACCCAGAGGCTCCACAGAAGAAAGGCCTGGTGACCTGCTTCTGTAAAGATTACAGCCAAGAAAACCCTATGGGGCAGCTCTACTCTGTGACACATGAGGTTGCAATGAGTCAGAATCAACTCAACAGCAAGGGTTTTGTTTTGTTTTATTTTGTTTTTGGGGGGTGCTGTCATAACAAAGGTGGCACAGTGGTTAACAGCTCAGCTACCAAAAGGCTGGCAGTTCAAATCCACCAGCTGCTCCTTGGAAACCCTATGGGGCAGTTCTACTCTGAGTTCTACTCTGTCCTATAGGGTCACTATGAGTTGGAATTGACTTGATGGCAACGTGTTTGGGGTCTTCTGTTTTTTTTTTTGGTCATAACAAATACCACAAACTGGGATGACTTATAAGAACAGAAACATATTCTCTCACAGTTCTGGAGCTTAGAAGTTCGAGATTAGGGTGTCAGCAGTGTTGATTCCTTCTGGAGGCTTTGAGGGAGAATCTGTTCCACGCCTCTCTCCCAGCTTCTGGTGGCTCCAGGTGTTCCTTAGTGTTCCTTGGCTTGTAGATGCATCAATCCAGTCTCTGCCTCCATTTTCACATGGTGTCCTTCCTCTGTCTCTCTGTCTCTTCTCTGTTATAAGGACACCCCTCAGACGGGACTAGGACCCACCCTACTCCAGTATGACCTCATATTAACTGATGACATCTTTAAAGACCTTATTTCCAATCAAAGTCACATTCACAGGTACTGGGGTTAGGACATCAACATAAATTGGGGGGGGCACAATTCACCCCACAACACTGTGATTCTGGAATGCACAAAAGCAGCGAGAAGTCTTTCCAAAGCCAAGCTCCGGAACATGTCTACTTTAGCACGTGCTCAGCCACAGAACAGCATCACTGGTCACCTTGGACTCAGATGGATGGTCGGCAGAGGATGGCTCGCCATGGCAGAGCAGGAGTTCAGCACAAATAACTTAGCTGAAGGGAACACGCCCCACCTAAACACAGCTCCTCTCCTCCCTCCTGCCAGCCTTTCTGGGGATAGCGCAGCAAAATGTATCAAAAGCAGTGGCATCACTAGGGAGGTGTGGGGGGTGCAGACCATGTTGGGTGACACTGTCAAAGTGGGTGACACCAAAATGCCTATAAAATTTTCGTGCAGTGTTTCAGCAGGAATTTGTTATTTTTTATAAACATAACCCTGTAGTTAATTATAACAACAAAAACATTTTTTGTAAGCCCAGCTTGCATGTATCAATATACCTACAAGGCTAAAACTCTATGCTAATTTACTTTCTGAACCTTCTAATGTGCTCTGCTCAGAGCTGTCATTATTACCCAATTACTATGCTGCTTCGAATCACGTGGCAAGCACGCGCTGTTGTTTTCATTGTTACCAGCGTTTTTATAGTTGCTGATTTTGTCAAGGAAACCCTGGTGGCATAGTGGTTAAGAGCTATGGCTACTAACCAAAAGATCAGCAGTTTGAATCCACCAGGTGCTCCTTGGAAACCCTATGGGGCAGTTCTACTCTGTCCTATAGGGTAGCTATGAGTCGGAATCGACTCGACAGCAATGGGTTTGGATTTTTTTGGGTTTCGATTTTTTGTCAAATTTTCTAGTGTTTTAGCTACAATATTGTGGTAATTAATATTTGTGAACCTACATCAATAGCTTTTTTGAGAATGAAGTAGTAATTAAAGGAAAAGATGGGGATATACGGGAGTTACGATTTACAAGTAACATTAGTACAAAAAACATTAGTAAAGATTCTGTATGGTCTGGTACAGAAGGAGGTCCATGAGCAGGGTGACACCAACCCTAGTGATGCCGCTGGTCAAAAGACCTTTTTAAAACGTGCACAGCACATCTATCACGATTTTAACAGTAAAATCTCTCTGACCCAGTGATCCCACGTATGTTTAAAAAGTCTCTACGTGTGGTTATGTACAAACATGTACATAACCACCTGCAGAATGTTCTGGAAGGATCATACCAAATCATGCTGGCAGTCGCCTCTGGGGAGGAGAGTAGGATTGGGGAGAGGGGTGAAAGGAAGGTTTCTTTTTATTTTCTATCATTTGGATTTGACATAGGACTGTTATCAAGATGCACTCAGCTATCTAGTAAGATTTATAATTTGCCAAAATTTTTTAAAAAGAGAAAGAATAATTTTTTTAATGTTATACACTCTTTGATCCACATTAAGGAATTTATCTTAAAAAAAGAAACGAACAAGTACTCAAAGACAAGTATACAAGGACAGTTATGGTCATCAAAATGTTGTTTATAATATAAAAATGCAAATATCTCAAAAACTTCAACACAGAACTACCAGATGACCCAGCCATCCTACTCCAAGAGACTTGAAAGCAGGAACTCAAGCAGCTAAGTGGTGCCCCAATGTTCATTGCAGCATTATTCACAACAGCCAAAGGTGGAAACAACTCAAGTGTCCATCAACAGATGATGGATAAACGTAATGTGGTTCAGCCATATAATGAACTATTACTCAGCCATAAACAGAAATGAAGTTCTGATCTATGCTATGCCATGGATGAAACTTGAAGAAATGATGCTGAATGAAAGAAGTCAGACACAAAAGAGCAAATATTGTATGATCCCACTTACATGAAATATCTAGAATAGGCAAATGCATAGAGCCAGAAAGTAGATTAGTGGTTGCCAGGGGCTGGCGGAAGAGGGGCATAGGGGAGTCATTACTTACTGGGTACAGAGTTTCTGCTTGGGGTGATAAAGTTTTGGAAACAAATAGAGGTGATGGTTGCACAACATGGTGAGTGTGATTAATGCCACTGGATTGTACACTTGAAAATGGTTAAAATGGTAAATTTTATGCTGTATATTTTTTACCGCAATAAAAGGGAAATAATTCAAATAACCACAGTAGGAAAGCTGTTAAGTTACAGCAGCTCTACACAAATTGATACCACGAACCACTAAAAATCTTTACTGACAAAGGAGGATGCTCACAATGCCTCAAATACAACGGAACAGCACATAGGGTGTGATTCCATTTTGTGAACATAGTCACAGAGTTAGGATGTACGCACAAAATATATACTTAAGGGTTGCCCCAAAACATTACCAGTGATGATCTCTGGAAATCAGATTAAGGGGATATTTTTGCTTTTTACTGTATTAAAATTTTCCGATTTTTCTAAAGATTGATAGGATGGAGTTCGGACACCTTCGCAGCTCACTGGTCCCCTGGGGGTACCGTGAACTGCCCCACACCCTGGCTTTGCCAAGCTGTTCCTTCTCCCTGGAATAACCTTCATTTCCTTATATCCACACACTGAAATCCTCCAGATCATGTGGAATGCCCCTCTGACTCACCCATGCCCCACGCAGGAACCCGAGCTTCCAGGGGCAGGTAGAAGTAGTGGGACGAGCATATCACCACCCACCACCCACCCTCCACCAGGCAGTGGGCTCAACCAAGGCAAGTCCTTGAGCATAGAAGATGCCGAAAGAATTAAGCCCACAGTGACCTGGGCAGAGGAAGCCCCACATGTGTCTTTCCAGGACAAAGTGTGGTGTGGGGGTCTCATTCACAGACCCGGTACCCCAGGAACGCAGTCCGGAGCCAAGTGTCACCGTGAATCGCAGCTGTAACTAAGTGACTCGGTGAAGCAGCACCAGCCTTCCAGTGGTGAGCCTGGGGGGCTGTCGGTGGGGAGGGCTAGGCAAGGGGCCTGGTTCCCACATGGCCTACCTTCTCTCGTTGTCATCGAGGTGAGCGAAGAGCACGTTCTTGGAGATGGCCTTGGCCAGGGCTGTCATCGTCTTGTAGTCCTTGGGGATCACCTAGAAGGAGGCAATGAAAATCAGACTTCTGGGGCCCCCCAGGAGGTGGGCGGGGGCTTGGTACGGGGGCAGAAAGTTCTAGGCTTGACCCTGAGATGGTTTGATGTGGCTGGAAGTCAAATCATTCAGCCTCCAACTCATCCTTATCATCATCATCGTTGTCATCATTGTCCATGTTGTTGTCAGGTAATATCTGATGAGAATAGACACCTAAGCTGACCTTCTCCTCTTTAGGGTGGGGGTGGAGGAGGGGCTAGGGAAGAGATGGAGGGGGAGCTGGAGTAGGAATTTGGACTCCTCTAGTCGGAATCGACTGGATGGCAACGGGTTTGGTTTCTGGTTTTTGGTATCTGCCAAACAAGGAGACCTGGTGGCACAGTGGTTAAGTGCTACCAAAAGGTTGGCAGTTCAAACCTACTAGCCGCTTCACAGGAAAAAAGACCTGGCAATCTGCTTCCATAAGGATTACAGCCTTGGAAACCCTATGGGGCAGTTCTACTCCATCCTATAGGGTCGTATGAGTCGGAATGACTCAATGGCGATAGGTTTGCTTTGTTTTTGTTTTTTTTTTCTTCAGTCTACCAAACAGGAGTCCATGGGTGGTGCAAATGATTAACAAGTTCAGCTGCTCACAGAAGGGTTGGAGGTTCAAGTCCACCCAGAGGCTCTGCAGAAGAAAGACCTGGAGATCTGCTCCCATAAAGATTACAGCCTAGGAAGTCCTATGGGGCAGTTCTACTCTGTCACATGGGATCGCTGTGAGTCAGAATCAATTCAATGGCACACAACAACACCCATTAAAACTTGCCATAGTCAAGAAAAAGAAATAAAAAGTATTCAGATTGGAAAAGAAGAAGTAAAATTATCTCTATTCACAGATGATACGACTTTATATACAGAAAATCCCAAAGAGGCCACAAGAAAAGTTTTAGAGCTAAAAGAGGAATTTAGCAAAGTTGCAGGGTACAGGATCAACAAATAAAAATCAGTTGGGTTTCTGTACCTCAGCAATGAGAAATGTGAAAGGGAAATCAGGGAAACAAGTCTATTTATAATAGCATCTAAGAGAATAAAATACCTGGGAATAAATTTAACCAGGGACATGAAGGACTTATTTAATGAAAATTATAAAGCACCAGTGAAAGAGATAAAGATACTTAAATAAATGGAAAGATGTTCCATGTTCTTGGGCTGGAAGACTTAATATTGTTAAGATGTCAATACTACCCAACTTGATCTATAGATTCAATGCAATACCAATCAAAATTCCAACAATCTTTTTTACAGAAATGGAAAATCGAATCCTCAACTTGATGTGGAATGGCAAAAGGCCCTAAATAGCTAAAGCAATGTTGAAAGAGAAGAGTGAAGTACGAGGACTCACACTTCCTGATTTTAAAACATATTATACAGCTACAATAATCAAAACAGCCTGGTACTGGTATAACAATAGACAAACAGACCAATGGAAAAGAACTGAGAATCCAGAAATAAATCCACACATCTATGGTCAACTTATTTTTGACAATGGTGCTAAGTACACTCGATGGGGAAAGAAGAGTCTCTTCAATAAATAATGTTGGGAAAACTGGATTTCCACAAACAAAAAAATGAAACAGTATCCATACCTCACACTATACACAAAAACAAATTCAAAATGGGTTAAGGACTTAAATGTGCAAACTAAAACCATAAAATTCTTAGAAGAAAATGCAGGGGCAACGCTGTTGGGCCTAGCTTTTAACGATGGATTATCTAATATAATGACAAAATACAAAAAGCAAAAGACAACATAAATAAATGAGACCTTATAAAAATTTAAAACTTTTGTTCATCAAAAGACTTTACCAAAAAGTAAAAAGATAAGCTACTGACTGGGAGAATATCTTCAGAAACCATATATCCAATAAGAATCTAATAACTAAAATATATATAAAACTTTGACAACTTAACAAAAAGACAAATCACCCAATCATAAAATGGGCAAAAGATTTGAATAGACATTCTACCAAAGAGGACATTCAGATGGCCACCAGACACGTGAAAATACGCTCAGCATCATCAGCCATCAGAGAGATGCAAATCAAAACCACAATGAGATACCATTTCACTCCCACTAGGATGGCCAAGATTTAAAAAAAAAAAAAAAACAGAAAATAACAAATGTTGGCGAGGACATGGGGAAATTGGAGCCCTTATCCATTGCTGGTGGGAATGCAAAATGGTACAGGCGCTGTGGAAAACTGTCTGGCAGTTCCTCAAAAAACTAAAAATAGAACTGTCATATGACCCAGCATTTCCACTCCTAGGTATATACCCAAAAGACTTGAAAGCAAAAACTCAAGAGACTTGTATGCCAGTGTTCATTGCAGCACCATTCACAATAGCCAAAAGGTGGAAACAACCTAAATGCCCATCAACAGATGAATAGATAAACAAAATGTGGTACATACATACAATGGAATACTACTCACCCTGTAGAAGTAAGAGAGTCTCGATACATGCTACAGTATGGATGGAGCTTGAAGACATTATGCTCAGTAAAATAAGTCAATCACAAAAGGACAAATACTGTATGACCTCACTTATATAAAAAGACAAGAAAAGGCAAATCTATACAGACCAAAGTTTACTAGTGGTTACCAGGGGTGGGAAGGAGAGGAAAAAGCAGGTTTACTGGTGATGGTGAAATTGCATTGATTAAGGGTAGAGTTGCACAGCCAATTATTGTAATTTCTGTCAATAAGTTGTACATTTGTAAAAAGTTGAACTAGCAAAAGTTGCGTGACAGATACATTTACAATGAAAAAAAAAAAAAGATTAGCTGCTGAGGCTGCTTATGTACATCCAAACACCTCATGGGATTTGGTCCACTGGTTTGGAAGTTTAGGGTCATAGTTTCGTGGGACATCCCAGTTAACTGGCCTAATAACACATTTAGTGCTTCTGTTCTACCTCCTAGTTCCTTGTATAATGCCTAGGGTCTTAAAAGCTTGCAAGCAGCCACTCAAGGCATGACAATTGGTCTCTCTTTGCCTGGAGCAACAGAGTAAGGAATAGGAGGAGGATACAGATTGTGTCTTCATGAACAACTGCCCCCTTTGCCTTAAGACCAGAAGAACTGGATGGTGTCTGGCTACCAATACTGAACATTTTGATCAAAGATTCTATGGAAGAATTCTGATCAAAAGAGAAAAATGCAGAACAGAATTTCAAAGTCTCATGGATGCCAGACTTTCTGGAACCAAGGGAGCTGGATGAATCCCTGAAACTATTGCCCTGAGATAATCTTTAAAACTTAAACCAAAAATATCCCCTGAAGTCTACTTAAAACCCAACAATAATTTAGCTTAACTAGTGAAGAACGTCTGCCTTGAGTATTATTACACTCTTTTAAGAACTATCTATCTGTATGGAATCAAAGTGACAACACCAACTTGAAAAATTAGATGGGAACCTTAGGAGGCAGTGAGTTTATGTTAATGGGGCAGAAACAACTCAGAAAAGGAGGGTGAGTATGGTTGCACAACTTGAAGAATGCAACCAATGTCACTGATTTGTACATGTAGAAACTGTGGAATTGGTGTATGTTTCACTGTGTATATTCTCAACAACAACAAACTTGCTGTAGAAATACATGGAAAGGCCAGTTTCTGAGGCTGGGATTGGGACGAATGCAGGTGGGCTGCCCCACACACTGATAGGTAGCTGTGCCTGTGCCTGTCAGAAAAGCCAGGTGCCACCTGGGTGGGGCAGGTGGCAGTGCAAAGTAACTGTCCCTGGAGGACAGAGAGGGGTAATGGAGTCAAGGGCAGCCATCAAGGGGCCACATGGGGCTCAGAAATGGGGCCGGGGGCTCTGGCCTTGAGGGGCATGAAGCCCAGGAGAAACAGGGCCACAGCAGGGCCAGCCCGGCTCCTGCACCAACAGCTGGCGACTGGCCAGCCCCTTCCCTCCCGGGGCCCACCATGGTGATGACACACGGTGACCCACAGATCACTCTCGGTCTCTTGACTTCCAGTCAGTGTTGCCCATAAAGGTTTCTACTTGATAAGGACAAATTTAAAGAACGGTCCAGAGGGGACTTTGCGATTCTAGTAGGGAGTGGGACATTTGCCCCAAAATACCTACAGGAAAAAGAAAACAGAGCTACTATCCCCCAAAACAAATTAATTCTGTTCATAAGGCCCTCCTTCCCACATAGGGGCAGCGTGAGTACGGTTTTGTCTCTCCTATCCCGGGTCCCTCCTGCACCACTCAACTGCCTCAGACCAGAAGGGAAACCGAGGTCCCCGGAGGCTGAGTGTGCCCTGTGAGGAGCTCAAGGGAGCCTGGCGTGGCCCTCACCTTTCGGACGTAGGAGACGGCATCCTCCTCCGTGTATACCTCGGCGCTCACGCCCCCGCGGCGGCGGCGGGCCTTCACCACAGGGTTCGGGGGCATTGGAGAGATCTCCTCCTCATGTGAGTCCGACTGGGAGCTGGACTTCTGCCGAGCCAGGATCTGTTTGTTCTCCTCCTGCGAGGAGGCAGGGAGAGGGGGAGTGGGTGAGAAAGGGGCTGTCGCTTGGGCTTAGGGGGGAAAGCTTTCAGGGTCTTCTGGGGGAGGACGAAGGGGGCATTGGTGGCTCAGTGGTAGAATTCTCGCCTTCCATACAGGTGACCCGGGTTTGAGTCCCAGCCAATGTTCCTCATGCACGGCCACCACCTGCTGTCAGGGGAGGCTTGCATGTTGCTATGAGGTTGAGCATATTTCAGCAGAACTTACAGACTAAAACAGACTAGGAAGAAAGGCCTGGCAATCAACTTCCAAAAATCAGCTAGTGAGAACCCTATGGATTACAACGGTGCAATCTGCAACCGATCATGGGGGATGGCACAGGACTGGGCTGTGTTTTGTTCCATTGTGCGTGGGGTCGCCATGAGTCGAGGGCTGACGCCACAGCAGCTAACAATGATTATGTTCTAGGCCCTATTGTTGACATTTTATATTTTCTCATAAAAATGTATTTCTTAGCTTTAAAACAAAAAGACCAAGCAATGTAAAGCCAACTGAGAGTTCAACCCTGTGTCAGTTTTGAGAAACACATTAAACAAGTGAGTAAGACTGTGTAATTTCTTACAACTGCACGAGAATCAACAATTGTCTCTAAGTTAAAAGCTTAATTTAAAAAAGCGTGGGTGAGAGACTGTACAGGTATGGGGTTTATGAAGGCTGAGACTGCAAGTCTTCAGAGATTGGTGAGGGAAGAGGACCCAAAGCTTGTTATCCGTCTGAGGAGCTGAACTTCCCACCCCACACCACTACCCTGGTTCTATCCAGGGTGGGGTAAGGTCAGACAGAGGCCCCGCCCTGCCCTGAGCTGTGTCTGCAGAACGCACTCTGCCTACTAACCACTGTCGTTGCCTAGCTACTAAGCCTACCGACCACTGTTTACAGGTCTTCAGCTGCTCTAATCCTTCTTATTTAGTTTGGTTCAAAAAGGAGATTCTTTTTTGTTAAGTGAATTTAAAAGCCTTTAGGCAGGCATGCATTTCAGTTCCTGAGGGCCCTACAGTTCCCTCCCAGCCGAGGCTGAGCTGTTTCTCACACATCTGCCCGGAGACTTTGGTTTGCACACTTTGCAGCCTACACTTCTGACCTCCATCCCAAAAGCAGGTTGTGGGACTAGACTGGGAGGCACTCTGTCTGGGGCTATACCCAGCCCTGGGCTGCAGCCCCATTCTCAAGGTGCAGTCCTCTCCCTTTGGGAAAGGGGTGAAGAAAAGAAGGGAGAAAGGAGGAGAGGAGAGGGGAAAAGGGAGAAAAAGAAGGGAGAAGGGAAGAGCAGAGGAGGGAGGGAAAGGGAGAAAAAGAGAGGGGAGAAGGTAGCAGAATGCCAGGCAGTCTGGGGAGCCCAGGAGATGGTGACGGTCCTCTAGCCTTGTCCTGCAACCAAGCTGGATGCTGGGGTACAGTAGGGGCCATGAGCTGCCGGCATGCACCTTCCCGGTTTTCTGGGTGACCTAAGTAAATCGCTTCACCTTTCTGAGCCTCATTCGTCATCTGCAAACAGGAATGGAGATGCCTACCTCCTGGGAGTGTAGTAGGAAGCAATTTCAAACAGTCATCACAAACACTAAGCACTATGCAGAACTGATACTGGCTCATGTCCGGGAGCATGGCACCAGCCACTGGCTCCTCACAAAGCTCGTGAGAGGGGTGGGCATCATTCCCATCATATAGATCCCAGACTCGGCAGCAACTGGGAGGGAAGAGGCGAGCTAAAGGAACAAAATTCAACCCTCCCAGTGGTCTAACAAAAAACAAACTGATGTCGTTGTCAAGTTGACTCCAATTCCTGGCAAGCCTGTGTGTGTCAGAGAAGAACTGCGCTCCATAGGGTTTCAGTGGCTGATTTCTCAGAAGTAGATCGCCAGGCCTTTCTACCAAGTGCCTATGGATGGACTCAAACTACCAACCTTGCAGTTAACAGCAAGCATGTTAACCGTTTGCACCACCCAGGACACCCCCAGTGGTCTACTCAATCAGCCCCTCCCAGGGCCTCTCAACCTCTCTTCTTGCTTCCTTCTCCTCCAGTCACCCAGCCTCTTTGCTGGTCCTCCAATGAGCAGGATCCTGCCTCAGGACCTTTGCACTGGTTGTCCCCTCTGCCCTTTCCCCAGAAATCTACATGGCTCTCCACTCACCTCCTCCAAGTCTCTGCTCAGATGTCACCTTTTCAATGATGCCTTCAATCAACTACTTAAGATTGCAGTACTCCCACTATAGTAGTTGAATAGCATCCCCTACCAAACCCACATCCACCTGGAACCTCAGAACATGACCTTATTTGGAAATAGGGTCCTTACAAATACAATGAAGGTCAGAATCAAGAAGAGATCATCCTGGATTAGGGTGGGCTCTAAATCCAATGAGAGTGTCCTTATAAGACACAGAAAAGGGGACACAGAGAAGAGGGCCATGTGGAGACAGAGGCAGAGATGGGAGGGATGCAGCCACACGCCAGGGAATGCCAAGGATCACTGGGAGTGACCAGAAGCTGGAAGAAACAAGGAAAAGTTCTTCCCTAGAGCCTCACCTAGATTTAGGTAGGCCCTAGATCCAATGGCAAGTGTCCCTATAAGAGACAGAAGAAAAGACAGACACAGGAGAGAAGGCCATGTGAAGATGCAGGCAGAGATGAGAGGGATGCGGCCACAAGCCAAGGAACTCCGGGGGCCACCAGGAGCAAAGATTCTTTCCTAGAGCCTTCAGAAGAAGCACGGCTCCACTGACAACTTGATCTTCAATTCCCAGCCTCCAGAACTGAGAGTAAATTTCTGTTCTTATAAGCACCCCAGCATGTGATCATTTGTTATGGCAGCCCCAGGATACTCAGAGAGTGGGTCAGGGTCAGGCAAAGCTACTGAGCGGCCGTTTATGGAGCTGGCACCACTGTCTCCTGAGAGGAAAGTTCTACCTTCTCCCTCCTGCAGATGAGGGCAGTACGGCCCAGAGGGGCTAAGTTCCTTGCCCAAGGCCACACAGCACTGTCTACCCAATCGAGTTACATGAGCCCTGCCCTCCGCTCACTGAATCCAGCCCTCCCCATCATCACCAGGAGGAGCTGAGCAGATGGAGCTGGCTCACTCTGAGCCTCAATCTGGGCAGAGGGAGGCGTGGAGTCCAGGTCAGCAGGAGGCAACAGCCTGTCCACAAGCAGACACCACACCAAATCCAGAAGTGGACCCAGCCTAACCTTTAGGACCTCCAATTTGCCCCTTCCTCCACCCACAGGTTCCCAGGACATCCCAGCCTCCTCCCTCCCTGTACCCTCTCCCATGCACTGCGCCTTCTGTCCACAAATCACCTGGACCATCCTCCCACCAATTCCCTTCCTTCCAAATGCTCCCAAAATTCCATTCTGACACACTTACAGATCAATGGGCTGGGGAAATAGCGTTCCCGTTTTCTTAAACCAGTCGCCGTGGAGTCGACTCCATCTCTTGGTGACTCCATGTGTTGCAGAGTAGAACTGGGCTTTTAGTGGCTGATTTTTCAGAAATAGATGACCAAGTCTTCCCAGGTGACTCTGGGTGGGTTCGAACCGCCAACCTTTTGGTTAGCAGCCGAGCACTTAACCGTATGCATCACCCAGGTATACCTCCTTTCCTTAAAAAGAGTTTGAAAGCATTCCTCTTACAGTTAACTTCTGCTGGGTCTACAAATTAAGAGAAGTTCATAGGGTTTTCACGGGTTGATTTTTGGAAGTGGATCAACCAGGTCTTTCTTCCCAGTCTGTCTTACTCTGGAAGCTCTGCTGAAAACCTGTTCAGCATCCTAGCAACACGCAAGCCTCCACTGACGGACGGATGGTGGCTGCGCATGAGGTGCATTGGCCTGGAATCAAACTCGCGTTCCCCACATGGAAGGTGAGAATTCTACCAGAAACCATCTACATAAATAACGAAACCCAGAAATGATGACCTCTCCGTTACTGTACCCATGGGTTCCTTGGGAAAAGACTGTTATTTATCAAGAACTCCAAAAGTATGATGGGCATGTCCAAAACGTACACTAACACAATGTCCAGAAGAGCTGTCTTCAAGCCACGTTAAACCAAGAGCACCACTCACAAGATGACACATCTCCACTTTATCACTATGGGCGTTTGAGCCTGGTGTTCCCAGTGTCCAGCCATAGCAAGCTTCCTGCAAGCTTTACTTTGAGGGCTCTTTCCCAGGATCTGACCATCTCCATTGGAAATGCAACATAAGGAGTCTTTGGTCCCACCGTAAGTTGATAAACTCGAGAGGATTTCAACCGGCAAAATGAAAATGCAAATTAAGGCAAAACCAATTCAGGCAAAGACCAAGAACTCTCAACAGATATTCTTCCTCTAGAAAATACTTAGACTCCCAATCCCCTACTTTACCCGTATGGGTGGCTGGGATGAAGACTCGAGGCCAGGGCTACCCAACCCTGTGACAAGGCCCTACCTCAGCTGTCCAGGAAAATTAAATGAAGGTTTAAACTGAGCATTACCAGTTCACTCATTTCTAAAACAAGTTCTTCAACCTGCATGTGATCTTGATGAACATATAAAAGGAGGAGAGATGCTCCATCCCAGGCTAAAAGATACATGGCTTTCATGTGGGCCCTGGAAGAGCTATCAGTAAACCAACGCATCCATCAACCAGGGTCTCTGTGTCATCATTAAAGCCCAAGGTGGGACTTCTCAGGTGCCACATGGACAGGCAGAAGGGGGTCTCTCTGAAGTTCAGCTCTGCAAACACCAGTGATCCCTGGCCTCGTGTGCTAACAATGCTCCTACAGAACCCATTTCCAAGTAAACCCCTCACCGCTCTCTTGTTGCCATGACAACCAGCCATCTCATAATCTCTGAGAATGGGCAAACATTTCCCTTGCACCAGGAGTCACCTTTTTATATCCCTACACATTTCAAATTGCTGGGAAAGAGACACAAATGATGACATGCTGGAAATCACTGTACATTGATATGTTATTTTATTCAA